TATATATATATATATATACACACACAGTATATATACACACACATTTGTGAAGATTTTTTTTTCCAGGAAAAAAATAGGTATTAAATAAAAGTCCGACTGCCTTACTACTGTCAGAGCAAACTGTTACTTTGCGTGAGTGTGCGCATGTGTGAAAAGCTCTTTGTTATCAACCTGCAAACAATGTGAACACTCCTGTGTTGCCTCGAAGTGTTGCCTGTCAGCAAGTTTTTTCTGAAGCTCACAGGGAAATCGTCACTGCATTTCCTCAAATCTTATTGCCGCATCCTTGAATAGAAACCACATTACAATCAGTCGCTGGGTGTATGTGTGTGTATAGATAGATAGATAGATAGATAGATAGATAGATAGATAGATAGATAGATAGATAGATAGATAGATAGATAGATAGATAGATAGATAGATAGAGGGTGTCAGGTGTGCTCGACTGATTAGCACGTCCGCCTCACTGTGCAGAGATGCAGGTTCGATTCCGGCTTCGGCCTACCTGTGTGCAGTTGGCATGTTCTCCCTGTGCCCGCGTGTTTTTTCTCCGGGTACTTCAGTTTCTTCCCACATTCCAAAAACATGCATGGTCAGTTGATTGAATCCTTCATAATTGTCCGGAGGTGCGATTGTGAGCGTGAAAGATTTTTTGTCTGCTGTATGCAGCCATCTCGTTACCTCTGCGTCCCGCGTCCGAGGCGCATAATTTTCCCGCGGGACGCACAGTTCCAAATAATGTGCGTTTTTGGGACGCAAGGAAATTTGTCAGTCAAAACAAAATAAAAAAACTATGGCAGGCCTGAGGATTTCATGGTAATGATCGTTACCGGTAGCGTGTCGTTTCCGTGGCGTCATTTTGACGACACCGAAAAATCGTTTAACCATAAAAATCACCTCACACGAGTTGACTGTACGCGATCAAATCTCTCCTGTGTGATCAACGCAATTTCACTGTGCCTGTATGTGTGTTTGTGGTGTGGTGTGTGAGTGAGTGCGTTTCTTCTAATTTACTTTCGTTTTGTTTTGTTTTCAGTGTTGGGGGGGCGGATCAGATAACGTTATGTGCGCAAGCGGGTTGCTATTTTAGTCCGCAAACTGAGGAATCACGCGGATGAAAGTTTGAGATGGCGGCGAAAAAAACTCACAAAGGTCTACT